TGGGTATTAGAGCCTCTGAGGCAGAGGAGCTAGCTATTTGGGCACCTCCCCTGTCCTCGCCATGCTGGTGTGGGCCCTTAACCCATTGATGGTGGCTACTTTTGGTGCGTTGGCTTGTGAGCCCATAAAGAACAGGGAGTCACTTGGAATAACTCGGGCAATGAGTTTATTATGGTGCTACAAGGGAACCAAAATCTGCCCCAAAACCAGGGGGATGCCAGGACCTGGAATGGTGGAGACTGGGGCAGGGAGGTCTTTGAGAGTTCAGGATGGCTCCAGTGCCCAGCTGCAGGAATCCTGGAGCTCTCCTCCAGCACGCCACCTTTATGTTGCCGCTCTCCAATGTTGGCTTCCTCTGTGTGTCTGCCCCATCTCTTCCTGCTTCCAAGCTTCGTTATCTCGTCTTCAACTCTGCGCGTCTGCTTCTGATGTGTCGTAACTCTGATTTACCCCTAGCCCGCTGTGGCTGCTGCCACTTACCTACCAACTTCTACTGACTGTGATTCTGCCCACATTCCCCAAGTCAAATCCCAGGAGAGGCAGTTGGGATATGACTGACCCATCTCATTGGCTGGGGCTCCTGAGCCAAGCCAGGCTCTACAAACCAGCCTGACTTTGGGATGACCTTGGGGTGATTGCCACGATGCAATCAGCAGTGGTAGGAGGGAGAGGGGAAGACCAAGTGATCCAGAACAGAGCTACCTCAAACAGGAAGCAGCCTGGGACCATTTCCTTCCACGGAGCTCTGGGCTGTACTAAGATGCCTTGACACATCACCCAAGGTGGTCATGAATGTGGCAGAGAGTATACTTTCGTGTCCTAAGGGTCAATACCAGGGCAGCAGAACTGCATGAGACAGACACTCAAAGGTCAGACCCTGGGCAGATTCCCAGACCTGAGCTAGGGCCATTGTGAAGAAAGGCAGATAAAAACAACTGCTGAGAATGAGGTGGGAGGTGCTTGGCCACCAGAGTCCCCATAGGTGAATGGGTCGGCCTGCCCCAAAAGCACAAAATAATAATTGGGGGATAGTTCACCATTGCTGGGTGTGAAAAAATACAAATGACACACTTAAAAGGAAGCATAGTACTGCCTTTATGACTTTGAAGTCTGTTATGATTTGGATGGGGTTAGCAAAATGTTTCCCCATAGACCTATTAAGAAACTCACTTTCATATCGACAAAGTAGATTTCCCTTTGGGAGAGAGAATGTTCTTTGCTTGAGGAGGCCACTATTCACAGCTCCTTCCCTTCAATGAAGAAATGTTTATTGGGCCATGCATGTGCCAGCCGCTGGGAAAGAGAAGTTTATAGGCTAATGGGGGAAACAAATAACAAGTAGAAAAGTCAAGACAAGGTGATTTCAGAGGATAACAAACAAGACCACTTAGCAAGCACTGCAGTTTTCCACGTGAGACATGGAGGCCTGGAATAGACTGCTGGGCTGGAGCTGGCAAGAAACGCAGAGACTCAGGGTGCAGTAAGTTTAATCCACCTAGCCAGGGAGTTGGGTCTAGACAGCTACTCGCCAGGCCTTGGGACGTCTGAGCCGTGATTTTAGGTACTGACCCAGCTATCCCACGAAGAGTACAGTGGAAGAGACAGGCTTGGTCTTGTTAAAGGGAAAGTGGCCAGTTGGGAAAAATGTCATGAAGATCCAATTAGCTGCCTTTCTTTCCTTTGTTTTAGGCACCTGGAGCATGAGGTCAGCATCAG